TCGTGTTACGTCAACCACCTATTACCGGGCTTCATCACAGAATCTAATTATGCATGTGGGCTGCATGCATGATGTACATGTAGTTTAAATGAAAGAGATGCGGGGTGGGGTGGGGGGGGGGCGGGGTCAACACAAAAAGAAATGAGTGGTCGAGCTGATAATTAAGAAGGACCAATAAAAAAAAAATAAAAAAAAAGAAAAGAAGAGAAAGAAAATTCCTCAAGTAAAAGACGTGTCCGGCAGAATAAAAAAAAAAGAAATAAAAGAAAAACCCGACATATTTTGTTGAATTTTCAACCCTTGGTACTAGCCGACAAAAGTTAGTGTTAAACAGAGCCATAGCATAGTGTGTCTATACCCCCCCCCCCCCCATTCCGCTACATACAGTGGCAGATCTGTTGCGCCCCCTTGTTTGGAAACCACTAATTTCACGTACATTTTCACGTACATGTAGGCCTAATATCAGAAAACTATCGCCTGCCCCCCCCCCCCGTTTTTCAAATTTTCGGGCTGCGCCCGGCCCCTATTTTCGAATCCTGGATCCGCCGCTGTAGTGCGCACCCTTTCCTTACTTATTCCAAGTGCCATTTTAATATCAATTGTCACAGTTGCTACGTGCACCTTATACTTTGACAAAGTGGCCTTTGTACCTTTTATGCATTTCCCTTGTAAGCATGCCCTTTGAATCTGTGATGGGTGTCCCATCTGTAAGTTACACTTTTTTTTCTTTCCCTTTTTTTTTAAAAATTAGAATACTTTAGTCTCAGAAAGGCCTCATTCTCTGAAATTTCAGATAATTTTCTCATTGCCCATGTAACTGGCCTGCATGGAGTGGTTATCTTTATTCTCATGTGCTTTCGATGTAGAAACTGTGAAGCCAGTCAGTGTGGTGTAAGGAAATACTTGTGATTAACTGATCATCCATAAAAAATTAAAAAAAGAAACCATGAGCCTGCATGCATGTAACGCAGCAAAAAAGAAAAAAAAAAAAAAAAAAAAAGGGGGATATGGGACAGCGTAACAAGGGTTGCGTTAGTGGGGGGGGGGCAGGGGGGGAAATTTAAATTTTATTTCAAAGGGTCCCAAATGAGAGGTGGTTTTATAAGGGGGAAGGTACCTAAGAGGGACATGTGAAAGGGGAGATGTGAAGGAATTTAGGGAATCATATACACAGTCTACTCCCGTTATAACGAGCACATATACGAGATTCCCTTTTAAAGACGCGCGCGGGTAATTCCGTACGAGGTTATAAACCTTATTATTAAGTAATATTTCAAAAAAAATAATATTGGTTTTCATTCCAACAATAAATACAAAAGTATCAAGATAAAGCTAAAATTTATTTTTACCATGTTTATTCGACACAAGTAATAAAAATATACGCGATTATATAAGCAGAAACGTTCGGCCAATGTCGGATAAGAACGGCGGCTTTCGAACGTATCTGCGAACGAGTCGATCCAGTAGATTCGTTCCGCGGAACAAATCGGCGCGCCGATTTGTTCCGCGGAACCCGGAACAAATCGCCTACCACACCGGCCGAAAAATCGCTCAGTGGTGATGGGGGAGGGGGGGGGGGATGAGGTAGTGAGCACATTATTTTTTTTTGGCCCTCGGAAATTTTAAAATTTGCACTCCCTCCTTGAACGCCATGGGAGGGGGGGGGGGATCTCCCATAAAAGGTAAAAAATCACGTGTTTTGTACACGTTTTTATTCCCGGGGGGGGGGGGGGGGTCCGGGCCCCCTGGGCCCCCCTGGATCTGCCACTGTCCTCATCTGTAATTCCTTTCTTACAAGTATGACTAACATTGCGTATTTCTCTGATACCAACATTGCATCTGAATATCTCTTGCTTTAAATGTCTGATCCCATTGTCCCCCTATACCCTCTCTCTCTCTCTCTCTCTCTCCTAAAAACAGATTAAAACGCGTTTAAGTTGGTTGTCTCTTTATTAAGCATGAAAAAACAGCATGTCTGTGTACAAGTAAAATGTTCTTCACATATTAAAAACACTTTAAGTGGAACTTTGATGATTGTAGAAGTGCTGTTTAATTTTTCCCCCATAAGTTTCCAGCTGGAGTCTTATCACAATTTGTTTAATACACCTGTAAAAAGTATTAATTTCTCTTCAGTTTTAGGAAAGCATGTACATGTATATGTATTTTCTTCGACTTGTTGATAAAATATTTCTGACCTACCTAGCATCATACTCCTGTCATTTATAATATTGATGAATGTAAATAAACAGATCTGTTCAAAAAAAAAACATTTGTCAAAACATGAAATATAATTTCAATCAACTAGTAACGCTGACACATTATCCATTAAACATCGGAAGTCTGTACCTCCATCCACAGACTACAATAGAATAATTGAGTCAGAACTTCAAAAACATCATCATTATAACATAATGACAAGCAAATCCCCTTATTTGCATTACAAATAGCCACCATCACTATCCTCTGATAACATGCATCCGTCTTAAAGGTATTACAAAGTTTTTGTATGAGGTCATGAAATTGGTTCAAATGAACCATGCGATCCTAATCATCCTACAATATTCAGTGATCGTTGTCGCGGTTGAAATCGAGTCTAAAATAATGAAATTGTAAATGATAAACTCTTATCGTATTGTAGCTCCCTTTCAAGGTCAAGATATCAATTTAGCTATAAAACAATATTTCTTGACTAAAATCAACCGATTGGCTATTCCCGCTTGGAAATTATATATCACAACTGCCTATTCTGAGATTTTTCATGGTCGCAGCTACCATTGTATGGCCGTAGGCGCTATTTAAAAATTATCGACATTTCATGTTCAATTTTTGTCAAAAGCAGAAGTGTTTAAGGGGCTAAATTTTCAAGTGCTTATAATACATTCACAGGGGCGTCCAAATATTTCAAAATTGTAAGGAATCATTATCCAGCCAATTTTCAAAATTTCACAAAACTTTGTATAACCTTTAAAATACATCAAGGACAGTTTAGGAATATCGAATGATTCAATCAGAATTACCTCCTATAATAGAATTCCTATCACATAATACATGTATATAAATTGAAAGAGAATTAAAATGATTGAACCAAAATAGATTCGTAAAGGAGTCATATCCGATTTAGACTCCTATGAAAAATAGGCACGATCGAATAATTAATGAATTATACCAGTGTAAAGACACATGATTAAAAGCATAACTCATGTGATTGCTTCCAGATCAAAATTATAATATACGCAATGTTACTTTTACTGAACTATATGATTACATATCTAAATAGGAAAGTAACTTGTAAAACATTATTGTGCTATCATAGTCATTTTAAGACTAAACCTGCATTATGGTTTAAACCTACACAAAATGCTTACCCAAGATCAACATCATCCTGGCATGAAGCCGATTTACGAGGAACTGAAACCAACCAAGAAATGATAGAGATCCCCATCATTTTCCCTGGCCGCCCTCTGATTCTATAGTACTACAAGTACATTGTAACTGACGTTCAGCTGAAGCTCGATCGCTAAAAGCAGAGATCAATCATTCAATGTCAATTACTCACTATAGTCACTACTCTGTCTACACGTTTATCTATTGATACCATTAATACAATGAATTATGAATTCCACTAACTAATGAAGAAGATTTACTACATCTTTTTCTGCCAGGGACTAACTACCCCAACTAAACAAATTCGTAAAACTACCACCTGTCTAAAAGATCATAAAAAAAAGGAAACGCACCTTTATAACATCCAGGTCAAAATTTCCAATTTCTGACATATATATATATACATGTACGTCTGTATCGTCAATAGTACATCAATGAAAATACAATTGTTTATAAAGGTGTTTAACTCAAGAAATAGATGTTGAATTATGCATAGTACTTAGTAATGAGTTCCAGATAACACCTCTTTGAATAGAACTGGGCCCTGTTTTATCAAACTTGTTATCAATAACAACTACCGACTACTAAGGGCACACAAAAGTAAATTTTTAGTCAAATGTGTAGAAAATAAACATAACACATATACATCCATTGCGTCATTGGTTATTTAGTACATTAAAGGGACTATGTCCCATTTGCAGGCCAAAAAAATGAAAAAGTTAAATTTCAACTGCATTTGAAAGATAATACTAAATTAGAACTTCCCTAAAAAAGGTGGGGCTTGAAAATGTCTTCAAGTGGGAAAATAACGACTATTAGTTGTCAAATCGACTTTAGGGCTATAGAGCCCAAAAGTAATAGTCTTGATTTTCAGACAATTGTACCGAATGGTCATACGTTTTATGCTGCCCAAAGATTCAATCAGTTTAATCTTGGCCATCACAAGAAGTGGGTTATTGATGTAGAAAAAATACTCATGTACCCTTTACAACTCTTTTCATGTATGTTATTACCAAAGAAGAAAAAAAGCCAGTCAGTCACTCAATAGTGTCTGGCAGTGAAGTCTAGCAAATAAACGGTTTTCCTTTCATAATTTGAATATGAGGACACTGCTAACGTTTAAATTTTACAGATAGGCCATACATGACATATTCATAATTCCTGCAAAGTTCTGCAGCATTTGAGGTTGGCTGCAAAAGGTACATAGTACCTTTAATGAAAATACAATTGTTTATAAAGGTGTTTAAATGAAGAAATAGACACTGAATTCTGCAAAGTACTAGGTAATGAGTTTCATATAACACCTCCTTTAATATAGGTGGGCCCTGTTTCAGCAAACTTGTTATCAATAACAACTGCCACATATGTATGGTAAATCTGCTCACAGCAAATCAAATGCAAGGTTTTCAGTAGCTTATAATGATCGTAACATGTTATTGAAAACAAGTTTCATGAAACAGGGCCCTTGTGTTCAATTTCTTGATTTACAATCTACGATGACTACATTTCGAATGGATTGTATGCCAGCTTCTCAAACTAATTGTTATTGTTATGTCTCTTATCGTTTCATGTTGATCTCACTAACTTTCGCTGTCAATCTGTCCTCCTAAAGCATTTCCATTGTCATCTACTGCTGCAGAGAAATTCTTGTATTCATGTTGAGATCAGTGACTGATTTTATCTGCAGTGAAAGGCATAAGGGTTTACCTACACTTAAAGAGCAGTTTCTTCACTGACGCCATCAGTGAATGCTGTGGGCCATGCGTTACCTTCAAAACACTCTCTGCCTGAAAAACAAAATAATGAATTAGAAAATACAAACAAATATAAATAAAAGACACCTTTCGCTTCAAATTAAACTCCTCCTAAATCGAAAGCAGAAAAAGTCAGTACAGTTCAAGGAGACTTTAAAGAGACAGATATATAGAAACTCGAGCATGAACAAGTTGATCACAAATATAATAAACAAACAAATCTTGATACAAATGGATGGCATAAAGGGAAACATTAATTGGTTCGATGTGATGAAAAGAAATATTGATCTACATCATCATACATTCTCCAAACATGCCAACAAGGTCACTTTCCCTGTCTTTATGTTAAAGACCGTCTGTACTGGTTTGGCTAGGAGGGATTAGACCACCCAGGGTACTCACTGACAGGTGGCTATCTCATCAACTCAGCTCTCAATTAACATACAAAAAAGAGGATCATGGGGGACCAATGGTCACCGATTAGGCTTGTTTCCTATATATAGAGAGCTAGTACAGTGGGGCTTCAATGTAAGGATCAAAGTATATCAAAGTGAGATTGTGAACTTTTCACCTATTGTCCTGGGTAATTTATATCAAGGTTACAGACACACTTAAGAATCTGAACCTCAATGTCCAGTAAGAAACGAACTTTGAAGTTACGATGTAGGCCTACTGTGATTTTACTGTACTCGTGTACTGTGCCTTTTTTTCAGACAAAACTACCTGTGTAAAAGATTGTTCACGGAATCAGATGAATGGGTTGGACAAATGGGGTTCGGGTGCCTGAAATTATTCTGGGTTTAACTGTGTATCATATAGAGCACCAGCATGTACCCCTAACTCCCACCAAACATCCTAAAGATGATCCAATTCCTGTAATTACTTAATAGCAAACATAAGGAAATGCACAATTCTACGTCTTCTACTCCACTACTAAAATTCAAAAGTAGTCTAAACAGCTTAATGAAAAAAAAACCAAAGAAAATTTCATCAGTACAAAAACATCTCGCATTGTAGTCGTGGTTAAAAGACAGTCCCTTCAATTTATAGGAAGAATAGTTAGTTACCTCTGTGAGATACTTTCTGGCCTCCTGAAGTTTCCTCAGTTGATGCTGTACTTTACCCATCTTCAGGAGGTGAATCCCCAACTGTGGATGGTACGGTCCATAGTAAACTCTATAAAATCAATATAGGTATCATATACAAATACATAGTCACAAAAAGATATGGTTTTGCAAAATTTACAGCATATGTGAAAATGTACAGCAAGTTTATTTATATGTATATATATATATGGCAGTTCAATTAATGAAATGAGTACATTTTCTGCTCTGAGGGGAAGATATGCATAAAATATCACTCATTCTCAGTCTGGTGGGTGTTTTATATATATAAAGGATTTATTGAAATCAAATCAAATCAAATCAAATAACCAAGAACAAATTTAAGTTAAGTATACATAATGAAGTGGCAGTAACGAATACATAACTAAGTTGCATAAGTAAAAATATCAAATAAATATCAGCACTGAATATTGCAAAAAGGACATATGAATAATATTTTTTTTTAAAGTGTTCAGAAAAGTTACTAATGCACTATCGCTTCTCTAAATGAACAGATATTTAGTGGCTTATTCAGAAAAGGTTGGGCCACCCCCCCCCAGTTTTGCCGAAAGGGTGCGTTGAGAACGGAGTACCGTCTTAATGCACCCTTTCGGGATAAGCGGGGGGGGGGGGCTTTACATGAAAGGGTGCGTTGACTAGTCTTCCACATCAGTCGTTTAGTAAAAAATAGTTTTATTCAATTGTTTATTTGTTTCAATTTTGATTATTTCAATTTAAAACGACTTAAATTTCTATTCCTTAAATTCCATTCTAAACGACCGATGTGGAAGACTAGTCAACGCACCCTTTCTAGAAAAGCCCCCCGCTTATCACGAAAGGGTGCGTTAAGACGGTACTCTGTGCTCAACGAACCCTTTCGGCAAAACCGGGGGGGGGTTGGACGAATGGTCGCGTTCAATTTAACGCGACGCGACGCCACCCGACCTTTCGGAATAAGCCATATTTAGTCAGTTAGTCCGTCATGATTTCAAAGGATATTTTTTTGTTATCACACCAATTGCTCTTTATGTGAATGATCGACATGTTATCTCACCTGTATGGTTCTGTGATCAGTAGTCCAATCTCGGCAGCTTTCTCCCATGATTTTTTGTGAATGCATGCTTCAAATGCCGTACATCTGTGCTCTACCACGAGATGATGATGAGCTGGAAGACAGCTGGAAGAGTCCATCACCTTCAGGTTGGTCATGTATAGCTCTAACACTTTGGTGCAATGTAAAAATTACATCATTAAGGAATATAACTTATGAGAAATAACAAATAATTAGGATTGTTTTAACAAATTAAAAGCATGAATGCAAAGAAAAATGAGAAAGAGTGAGAGAATACAGAAGAGGGAGGGTGAATATGAATATGATAGTAATGGAAAGAGCAAAGTTACAAGAGAAAATGGAATTACTGAAATGAAGTCGGTGAGTTGAGAATATAGATGACTGAGCGAAAGAGAGAGAGGGGGGGGGGGGCAGACAGGCACACAAAAAACAGACATAGGCAAGTAGAAAGTAAGAAAGAAATAAGAGAGAGAAAAAGACAGAATTGAAGAGAGAAAATTAGAATTTACTAAGACAGATATTTGTAGCACGTTTACTGTGCAAATACCAAAGTTACCTATTAATTCAAGTGTTACAAAAGTAACTAAAATACCAAATGAATTGAAAAAAGTCAAAAAAGAAGGGGGAGCCATTTAATTCATTAATGGGATCACATATGGTAATTGTGCCTTCTAGATGTTCTCCTATTGGGGACGAAGGATACATTGTGTAGACTTTGCATCCTGCGTTTGCTTCTCGAATATTTCTAGACCTTGGAGCTTTTCAGCTAAACCATCATTCGGATCCAATGCCTGCAGTGAAAAGAAAATGTTTAATTGGAATGTACCAACAAAATAGCTTGACAATATGAACATTTTTATTTTGCATTGAAATGCAAAGTGCAAGGTGTGTGTAACAATTTCTATATGGACTTTGGAAATCACTTAATACCTAGTGCATCTAATAAGAATAGATCCATGCAGGTATCAACGGCCTTGGCTATTAAATGTACAATGAACATAGGGTACTTGAGAGTGATATTATTCAAACTGTGAGTAATAAAAGTAAGTACGGTCCCACAAGGTTCAATTCTAGGGCCACTCCTTTTTTCTATCTACATAAATAGTTTACCGAAATGTTTTCATGATGGCATTGTTGATTTGTATGCTGACGACATGACTCTAACAGTCAGTGGGAGTAATGTTACAGAAGTAGAACAAAAGCTAACCAAGGTATGGAAAATATATTTTCATGGGTAAAAACAAACCGTCTTGTTCTTAAAGGTACTATGTCCCATTTGCAGCCAACATCAAATTCTGTAGAACTTTGCAGGAATTATGAATATGTCATGTATGTCCTATCTGTGAAATTTAAACGTTAGCAGTGTCCTAATATTCAAATTATGCAACGAAACCCGTTTATTTTCTAGACTTCACTGTCAGACACTATTGAGTGACAGACTGACTTTTTTTTTCTTCGGTAATACAATACATTAAATGAGCTGTGAAGGGTACATGGGCATTTTTCTACATCAATCACCTACTTCTTGTAATGGCCAAAATTAAACTGATTGAATCTGTGCGCAGCATAAAACGTACAACCATTCGGTACAATGGTCTGAAAATCAGACAATTACTTACTGGCTCTATAGCTCTTAAGTCGATTCGACAACTAATAGTCGTTATTTTCAGATCATTGTACCGAATGGTTGTACGTTTTATGCTGCGCGTAGATTCAATCAGTTTAATTTTGGCCATTACAAGAAGTGGGTTATTGATGTAGACAAATGCTCATGTACCCTTTACAGCTCATTTATGTATGTTATTACCAAAGAAGAAAAAGGCCAGTCAGTCACTCAATAGTGTCTGACAGTGAAGTCTAGCAAGTTAACGTGTTTCCTTGCATAACTTGGATATTAGGGCACTGCCAACGTTTAAATTTCACAGATAGGACATACATGACATATTCATAATTCCTGCAAAGTTCTACAGAAATTGATGTTGGCTGCAAAAGGGACATAGTATCTTTAAAGTGAACATTTCATTGACATATTTCTTCTAAATGATCAAGGATAATTCTTGAATGACCAGTTATTTCATGAGGATACCAATTAATTTGTATTATACCTGTTTATATGCTGTTTATATTTAACATTTGACTAGTATTAAACAAAGAATGAAACTGTAAAAAAGTAAACACTCACAATGATTTCCTCGACGCATTTCACACATTGGCAGGTGAAGTAATGTAGCGGTTCTAGCAAAGCTTGTCTCTTTTTAGATGGGTAATTGATTTTATTGAAATATCTGATTGTACACTAAAAAGAAACAAAAGCAGGTTGTAAGGATCTTACATTTTAAGTACATGTAATTTCTATAAGTTAATTGTCATGTTTTTCAAAGTCATAGAGTTGCTAGATTCTTTTTCATATGACCAGACTTATCAACAATTTTTGTTAACACTGACCACTGTGATCTTCAAAAATTGTGACAAATATCTATTAAAGAGGAATAAGAATATATCATCTCTTCATAAAGTTGAAGTGTCCTTCATTGCGAAATCAAAAAACTAGTGTATTTTTGGATTCCCAATGTAAACTGAACCATGTGGGTGGGGTGATTCAAATCCTATAATAGCACCGGCAGACTAATCCTGAAAATTACATGGTGAAATGAGTTGGTGATAATCCTGACGGAATCCATATAAAGCAACAGTCGATTACATTTCTTTCAAAATATTTAGGGTATTTTCTCACTTGCATATCCAGAACATAAGTAATAAAATAAATGTGGTATTTGACAATAAAACATGTGGTCTTACCTCATCTCCTTTTTCGACATTTTTAATGGTCCTGAGTTGGAGTTTTCTCCCATCATACACCGCTGCACAGTTAGGATCACAGGAATGGTTCGCCATAGACGCTCTTAAAATCAGGAAAATCAGGAACAGTTAAAAGAGAGACAAAATAATGACACGTTAATTTACACAAACAAGAAAATAAATATATGGGATTGGGAAGAGAAAAGGTCCTAGTATATTATGCTAATGGAATCATAGTTATAACATATACGTACAACATACAATCAGTAAGTCAAACAACATTTGCATTATTACAGTTATAAATTTAATAAAAGATTTTACTTAAAAGTGTATAATTTACTATTGACATTTTTTTTTCCCCTTTGGAATTTGCAAATGGACACATCATTTTTTTTTTCTCTCGATAATTCCGTCAGCAACTTGTCATGTAAACAAATCCTTTCAGGAAGTTCTTCTGATTACTTGCCATACACCAATAAATAAATCAAAAGAGGCGCAACGGCTCAGTGGTAGAGCAGTGGTCTCGTAACCGGGAGGTCCCAGGTTCAAAACCAAGTCAATGTACTTGTGCCCATTGGTAAGGCATTAATCCTCATTACCAAGTCTCTTGGAGAGGACTTAAAGTTGTCGGTCCCCTGGTTGTTTACTTACAAGCATATATATTCTTTCTTAGAGTCAGTTAAAACAATTATCAATCATAGTTACGGAAATCACCTTAAGTATAATATTGGACTTGCAACTTCATTCAGATCATAATCCAATGCTGAGAAGGTGTTGCAGCGTATTGCCCCATTCATCTTAATCAGGCTGGTTAGCTCGATATCAGCTAAGACACCCTCATCAATGAAATGCTTCAAAAGGAGCTTAAACTTTTCCTTTGTCGAATTGCTGCTCAGCTTCTCATGATGGGATTCCAACTGATCTACGGTGGTTGGGAAACAATCCCCACCATCCTGAGTGCACGGAGCAGACTCTTCTTGCTTCCGGATGATTTGAGACAGAACCTGAGCTGATTCTCCAGGTACTTCGTCGGGACGTATTCTCTTCAGGGCTATGCATTCTTGCTCGTGACATCTTGTCCAGTCTTCTTCCTGCACAAGGTACAAATATAAAAATAAGAATGTCAGCTGTACCAAACGACAATGTCAGTGAGCCTAATATTAAAGACACCTTTGATGCCTTTAAATCATAATTATGTGTACAAATCACTTTATTTAACTGTTCATAGAAGTTTAGGCACATCAGGATCGATTGATTATTTCTGTTGATTATTTCTGCATAGTTTCTGCAATGATCGCTAATTTCAAACAACCAAAGTTCTGTCACTTTAATGGCCAACTATACCTAATATAACATAGCCCTGTACTCCATAAACTTTGTCATACAGCTTAGCAACTTAACAAAAACTTCTTGATACTTTCTCTGAGATGGACATATTTTACTGATATATTTCCAAAGGTAATACAAAGTGTTGGTATGGGGTCATGAATTTGGTTCAAATGATCGTGTTGGAAGCATATGCGATCCTACAATATTCTAAGATCGTTGTCGCGGTTGAAATTGAGTCTAAAGTGATGAAATTGTAAATAATAGACTCGTTATGCTGTATTGCTCCCTCCCCGTTAGGAAATCATGTATCAGAACTGCATATTCTGAGATTTTCATGGACGTAGCTACCATTGGATGACCGTATATAGGCGCTATTCGAAATTTACCAGGAGCACCGGTAAAAGTGTATATTCAATTTTTCTTAAAGCAGAAGGGTTTTAGGGGCTAAATTTTTTAGTACTTATAATACATCCACAGGGGCATCAAAATATATCAAAATTAAAAAAAAAAACGTTGTTACTTCAGAGTTATTTTAACTCACTGACTTTTTTAATTTTCTTTTTTCCATAAAATTAATTCAGGAATCATTCATTTCCAATATATATAGGCAATATGGGTTTATGTTGGAGGGAACAAAAGCAAAAGGTTTGTGCTTACCTTACAGAATGTACTGCAGTAGCTTACATAATTGCATCCGGTACACTTCTTAAGAGTTGAACTGAAAGTAAGATGAAAATTGGAGTTGACTTCATTCTTGAAATATTCAAAACAGTGTTAACCTACACGAATGTCATTAAAATATAACATAATGCAGTACAGTACTAGATCCAAACAAATACCTCAACCCTTACTGTACTGTACATAAGAAAATAAATATTTTGAAAATCGCATATTTGCATTTATATCTACATCAAAATAACTGTTTTGTGTTAGAAAAGAAGTTTCATATGAATGAGTTTCAATATTCAAAAAGTGGAATCTGACACGTTTTTTGTAAAATGCATAAAATTTGCATTTTGCATAATTAATTAGGCTATAACGGCAACAGTTTGCATATTAGGAAAAAACTAATAATCTTTCTTCTAATCTTGTTTGTTACGTAAATATCTACAAACATGCAAATTTTTTGTGTTCATCGGACATTCGACGGCCGAGATCATAGGGGGGGGCAGGAGCTCCCCCCCCCCCCCCAGAAGGTGAGGTGCTCAAAATAGCCCAGTACAGTAAGGGTTAAATGAAAATACAAGACCAGAAACTTTACTAAAAGTTACAAACTTTAAACAATTCATGTTGACCTCATTAGAGTTTTCGTGCTATTTAATAAGTAATGCTTAATTTTATTTCAAAATGTTGCATAATAATGATTAATCAATATTAGACTACTATCTTCTACTATATTACTGTTACAAAAAATGGATGTTCCCAAATTTAAAAAGGGTAAAGATGTCTGAATTGGGAGACCAGCCCAATTTGGGCTGGGGTTTGATTGTGTAGAATTAGAAAGTTTGGAGCTGCATGAGGATAGTTTTTTTTTTATTTAGGCCCTTTAAAATAAAAAAAAAACATGTTTAGCGTCCTGCCTTTTTGAGAAATAGGAAGGAGGAGGCCCTTTTTTCTTATTATTTTTCCCTTCAAAATGGCCGCTCGGTACATTTTCGCCGACTCATGTTGACCTCATTAGAGTTTTCGTGCTATTTAATAAGTAATGCTTAATTTTATTTCAAAATGTTGCATAATAATGATTAATCAATATTAGACTACTATCTTCTACTATATTACTGTTACAAAAAATGGATGTTCCCAAATTTAAAAAGGGTAAAGATGTCTGAATTGGGAGACCAGCCCAATTTGGGCTGGGGTTTGATTGTGTAGAATTAGAAAGTTTGGAGCTGCATGAGGATAGTTTTTTTTTTATTTAGGCCCTTTAAAATAAAAAAAAACATGTTTAGCGTCCTGCCTTTTTGAGAAATAGGAAGGAGGAGGCCCTTTTTTCTTATTATTTTTCCCTTCAAAATGGCCGCTCGGTACATTTTCGCCGACTGGCTGAACAGCCAGTCGGGCCATCTTTAAGATGGCTGCCAGCATTTGAATTTATTTTTTTCTTTTATTCAGGAAAGACCATTTTAGCAGTATATTTTATGTTGTTTTTTGTATCATTAAAAAAAAAGCAAAAAAGCAGGCGGCCCCTAAAAAGGAAGCGGGCGGGGACGCTAAACATGATTTTTGTTTTAATGGCCTCAATGAATATTATCATAATATCATATTATCATTCAAGTAAAATGAATTGTATTCTACACTCAAAGGAACCTAACTCAGTAAATGTCCAAGAAAAAGAAAGCACATGAATTTCAATATGTAGGACCCCTAATAAAGTATACAAATATACACTGTCTTGAGAGGTTCTGGTTAAAACTATGCGCAAGAGGTGACTCCAAAAGTACTATTTGCTGAGGGGCGCAGCCCCGAAGCAAATGGTACATTTGTACCTCGAATAGAAGGCATGGTATATTGTTTTTTATATCCTGCATCAAAAATTTGTTGGCTTCTGATTGGTTGAGAGCTCGTCACATGACCAAAAATATTTGAGCTATTTTTAGAAAGTACTATATGAGAGTACTATTTTGGTTTACTATTTGGGAGTTGAAAAAAAAATGTGAATTTTTTTTTTAATTGATTCAATTTTTTTTTTCAAATCTTAATTTAATGAAAACAAAATATTTTAAATCTTTTTAGATAAAAATTGACATTTTTTTGTTCTAAATTTTTTTTTCCTAAAAATGTTTTTTTTTTTTTTTTTTTTTTTTTAAATAAATTTTTGATGCAGGATATAAAACAAATATACCATGCCTTCTATTCGAGGTACTGGTTAAACTATGGGCCTCGGTGACTCCAAAAGTACCATTTGCTTCGGGGCTGCGCCCCTCAGCAAATAGTACTATTGGAGTCACCTCTTGCGCATAGTTTTAACCAGAACCTCTCAAGGCAGTGTATATTTGTATAATATCCTGCATCAAAAAATAATTTTTATTTAAAAAAATAAAATAAAAAAAACAACATAGACCTTATTGGGGAAGAATTTTTTTGTTAGAACACAACAAATGTCAATTTTTATCTAAAAAGATTTAAAATATTTTGTTTTCATTAAATTAAGATTTGAACAAAAAGAAAATTCAATTTAAAAACAAAAATACCATTTTTTTCTTTAACTCCCAAATAGTACTCTCATATAGTACTTTCTAAAAATAGTTCAAATATTTCTGTGACGAGCTCTCAACCAATCAAAAGCCAACAAATTTTTGATGCAGGATATAATATAGACTAAGCCATAAAGCCATAAGGCCCTATCACTTTTTACTTGTTGATATCAGTATCACATTTTAACAAAAAAATAAGAATCAATACCATTTTTCGAGGCAAAAAGCACAGAAGTCCACCCTTTTGTAATAAGACACACTATATGCATATGGCAATTCTTCAAGGATACGTCGTCCAGGCGCAAGTCTTGCAGTGGCGACCAACTTCCGCCCACAAGTATCTGATTCTTTAACACACACAGGTTCCATAAGCACAGCACGCAACTTCAGCTCCGGCTCCATCATTAAGTAGTGTAAACTTAAGAAATTGCTCCTCTCAGCTCAAACAGCCAACGGGGCTATCGCTTTCAATTTAGAGGCGAATGATAATGTTTCATTCACCTATGCAGTTATATGTCTGAGCAGGGCTCGTGAAACTCACACATCCCTGGTCTGAGTATGTATTTTTTTATCGAGTGGGAATTCCCACTGACATTCATTACAGGAAGTAGTGACCTGTTAATATACCTTATCCGTATATGACGTCACGCGCTCGTAGATACAAAAGGGCGTCCTCCCTCAGAGGACAAGCGGTACGTTACCATCGAAATCCAAGTAAGTTCGTTGTACCATACCTCGCTGGTAACGTACAAGGAACTTACTTGGATTTCGATGGTAACGTACGGTAGCATATATTGGCACCAAGATTAGTGGCGATATGAATATTCATTATTCCCTACATAACAGACGTGCGGCGTGCGTACTCTGTCATATGCACATGTACTAGTACACGAGTACGTTCGTAAGCATTAGTACATGTACTGTCAAGGCATGACATTATTTTTCCCGTATTTGTTACGCGGCAGAATAATTACCCTTTTTACCTGAGCTGAGACTATCAGCACTTTCGCTACATGAAATTGTACATATGTATATATATATATAAATAATTCATAAAATAGTGTGTGGCAAAAATAGTCAACTGTGACTGATTGCTAAACAAAAACAAATCAAGAAGAAGAAGAACAGCGCAAAACAAGACCGTACGAAGGTACATCAACCATGTCGGTTGATACTAGTTTTTCCTTCATTTATATGCAAAAACTGAAGGTATGTTTAATTCCGTGCTATTATTCTTATGAGTGTATGTTATGCTAGGATTGTAAGTGTATCTTTAATGTTTTTGAGGTTTGTAGGACAAATTTGGGCCTCTTTTGAAGTGTGGATAGTGGTAAAAGTCCGTATTGGTTTTGACTGTGCTTAAGGTACTTGTGAAAGTGATTGATAATTTGTAAAATAATTCTTGGTTATATACTTCAAGGAAGTGTAATTAGAGTTGCTAAAATGTCTCATGATAGTTTATAAGTTATCTGGAGACGTTCATTATTGTTTTGGTGTCATATTTCATAAATTCGGGATGACACGTGAGACCTATTTTTCTTACGCTATTTTAGGATACTTCAGTGAATTGTAGTACCTATACGTACAGATTATATAGCGGAGGGATATTTTTAGACGCCAGGTTAAGTGATTCGCCTTACGGTTAGTCTTGTTTATGTCGCCCTAGGTAATATCGCGTTATTCGTTTTAATACTTGAAAAGGGGTTTTTTTGTAATGTGATTATAGTATGCTGAATGGATTCTTTTATGTAATTCAGAAACGAGACAAAACAACACATTTTTATTTTGCTTAAAGAAGACACTTTTTATTGGAGTAAAGAAGTGAAATAAATAGTTATTTGTTAAGAGTTCGAATGTGGATCTTTACTTCTAGTTGCTTTACACTATAGTCTTAAACTTAAATACACCCTTGTAGGTCATGTATTTACTCTAGTTTGCTTACAAAGAATGTAATCTAAGGAAAAAGGAACAATTTGGGTATTTTGAATCAATAGTCATTCTTTGTTTATTTTTGTTTCTTTACAGGATTCACACGATTGTTGAATGTGCTTTACAGCGCCACAACTATTAAAGGGAAGCTATTCAAGTCACGCCTCCTGTGTGGTTATTATAACAACGTGGAAGTTTAGACACGGTCTTATAACATTCTTCAACAATCAGGCTGTATAACTATCAACTGAAGATGACTGACATGAAGACTCTAAAGCTGGCGAGGAGAAATCTGAAGGGACAATTGACGAGGACATTAACGTCCATTGTCAATCTCTCCGATGAATCTGCAGACCTAAAGCAGTACATCAGCAAGGCTGAAGAACAGTTTGTAAAGGTGGAAGGGAAGCATGCAGAGCTTGTACAGTTCATAGAGAATGACGAGGAATTTGAGGCTGAGGAAGACTGGATGACCAACTGCGAGACAGACTTTGTTCAGAAGTTAACTGCTGGTAGGAGAGTTCTAGCTCAGCAAGCAGTTGTCGCCACCACCAGTACAGCAGACATCCGAGCAACAGCAGAACGTGACACTCCCAAGCTCTCCTCTCCGCACCTCCTTTCAGAATCAATCTGCAGGTGCCTGTGCCCCTAGGATGGCGAGACTGAAGCTACCATCATTAATGGTGACATCAAAGATTACCGGAGATGCAAGGAAATGTTCCAACACTGCACAAGGGAATCGTCAGAAATTGAATGTTTTTTCCAGTTAGCGGAGTCAATGGTGTCTCAAAGGAAGAGAAACTTGGTCAAAAGCTGTTCAAGCGTAGCAAGGGCATGGGAGATGCTGGATGAACGTTTTGATGACAAGGACCGAGTGGTGGACAGTTTGCCACAAGATTTGGATGGTCTCAAGCCATACGAGTATAAAGGAAAGGTGAATCTTCCAGCAATGGCGCGATTCATCCAGGTACTTCAGAACTTTGAATGCCAGGCGGAAACCATCGGCCTGGCTGGGGAGCTCAATAGCAGAATCATGCTTACCCAAATAAAACAGAAACTCCCAGAAGATCACAGAATGGACTACTACAAAAGTGTTCGGGATGAGAATGCTGACGACTCCATTTCAGGTTTAAGCAAGTGGTTGTTTCGGCAACAAATTCTCATGGAGAAGTCCAAAGCCACCATCGCAGATAGTATGGAACCAAAAAGAGTTTCTAAGTCCTTGACTGCAGCCGTGTCTTGGGACTCCAGAGAGGCTCCTTCATATGTTCGTGATATCCCAAAATGTGCTCTACATCCTAAGAACTCCTCTCATTACCTCAAGATCTGCAACAAGTTCAAAGCCCTAACACTCAAGGAGAAGTATGAAGTCATGAAAGCAAATTGTGTATGTCTCCGTTGTGGTCATAGCAACTGTATTGCAGGGAAACCCCCTCATGACCGCAGCAAGTGCCAGTTCAGGGCACCATGCCGAGTCCAGACATGTGGTAGTGACGAGCACTTTCCTACCATCTGTCCCAAAGCCCATGGTGATGCCAGAGATAAGGATCAGAGAAGTGGCTATGCTAACTAGGCAGACTCTGTGCGACCCGCTCAGTCTAACAGCTCCATACAGACTTCTACAATCAACCATGTAGGGAAACTGCATGCTACCTTACCTACCGTGATGGGATATCTACGATGTGGCAGCAAACGACATCTAGTACGCATTATGTTGGATGGAGGCAGTCAGGCCACACTCGTGAGAACAGGAATCTTTCCCAGAATGGAGGGTGATCTTTTCCAGGATCATGACCTTAGCCTTGTTGGCGGCAGTAATATCAAGCGGAAGCTGAGAGTCCTTGATTGTGAGATTGAGGATTTACAAAGGAGTTGGTCTTATCCGTTGACAGCTACTGAGATAGATAAGCCATGCGGGAATACACCTGTTATTTTCCCTGAGCATCTACAGTCCTATGACCACTTGACAGGTGTAGAGATAGATGTGGCTCCATCACCAGTCATTGACCTGCTGCTTGGAGTGGACAATACTCACTTTATGGTATGGGAACAGTACATCAGGGGAAGCAGACCAGATGAGCCAGTTGCGGTTAAATGTCCTCTAGGTTGGTTTGTTCAAGGAGGCCCAGCAGCTAATGCAGCACCACTCCTCAACTACGTCAGTGTAGCTGCTTCAGGATCCCTGGAGGAGTTGATTGAACTCGAGACAGCTGGTTTGGAGCCCAGGAAATGTAAATGCTTCTCTGATGACGAGAAAGGAACTGAATCCATGCAGAAGAGTGTTACTCAACTACCAGATGGCTCTTATGAGGTTCGCTTACCCTGGAAGCGATCTCCGGAAGAATTACCAGACAACTATGACTACGCAGTTAAAAGGCAGAAGAGCCTGGAGAACCAGTTCCGAGACCGGCCTAATGAGTGGGAAGTCTATTGCCGGCAAATGAGAGACCAATTGGAAAGGGGTGTCTCCCGGCAGGTTTCACAGGACGAGTTGCAACAAGACAGGGATGTAGGCAGAAGGATGTGGTTTCTTCCACACTTTGGGGTTGTTAAAGACTCAAAAACAACTCCAGTCCGGGTAGTTTACGATGGTAAGGCGAAGTTCCAAGGGCGTTCACTGTCTCATCAAAGGAGAGAATGTTAACTCGAATCTTCTCGAGGTGGCCCTCCGGTTCCGTAAAAATGAAGTGGGCATGATCGCAGACATATCCAAGATGTTCCAGGCTATTAAGATTTCACCAGAGGATGCTCGGTTCCACAGGTTCGTTTTCAGAGAGAATCCAAACCATCCCATACAAGTCTTTGAGCTTACAACAGTCACTTTCGGGGATAAACCCCCTCCAACCGCAGCAATCATCACCCTCAGACATGTGGCTCGTGAGCATGCACCAGATGATGACAAGATACAGAAAGTAATCATCGAGCAATTCTATATGGACGACCTGAACGAGTCAGTTAGTAATGCTGAGGAAGCTCTGGAGTTGAAGTCCAAGCTGACAGAGACATTGAAGAAAGGAAACTTCAACTTAAGGAAGTGGCAGTCTAATGTCAAGAAGGTCTGTGATGAGACAGAAAACACAGACACTGCTACTGTCCTAGGTACCAGCTGGGATCTATCTAAGGACACACTGAGAGTGAAGAAGGTCAAACCCTCCGAGGATACTACCCTCACCAAGCGGAAGATTCTTGCTCAAACGGCATCCTATTACGATGTTTTTGGAATGCTTTCCGGACTGTTGGTACACCCCAAGATTCTTCTTCAAAGGTTGTGGCAGCTGGACCTTGACTGGGACTCCCCTCTTGACCAAGGCAGTGAGCTCTATTCCATGATGAGTAAGATCAACAGAGACCTTAATGAGATGGACGGCATTGAGATCCCAAGATGTCTGATACCAGAGCCTTATAGGGGAACGAGACCCCTACCCATAGTGTCCATGCATGGTGTCAGTGATGCTTCAGAGGACGCCATGGGTTTTGCAGTGTGGCTGAGATGGTCACATGCTGACAGCCAAGAAGCTCATCTATCCTTCGTCTGTGCCAGATCTAGGGTGACACCTCTGAAACAGACAAGCATGCCTCGGAAGGAGCTACAAGCTCTTCTCCTTCTATCCAGACTGATGATCACCATCAGAGATGCTCTACGCTTCAGCATAGTCGGATGGAAGATGTGGACAGACAGCATGACAGCGATTAGTTGGCTTAGAGGGCAGTCTAAGACCTTCCGATCTTACGTCGCACATAGAGTCGGTGAGATCACATCTGAATTTGACCCCTACAGTGATATCGCCTACGTTCCCTCGGATCAAAATGCTGTTGATCTCAATTCCAGAGGAGGCGTTGTTACAGACATGCAGGAGGTCATCAAGGGCCCAAAGTACTTGAGACTACCTCCTCATTCTTGGCGGACACCAGAAAATGTTCCTGTCAAACCGGGAGATCCTGAACAGAAGAAGTTTCACTCCCGAAACACCAAGATCCTCTCAGTAACTGTGAATGCTGTGTCCAAGAACTCCCCGATTGTTGATGCTACCAAGTTCTCCAGCTGGTCAAAGCTACAGATGGTCACGGCGAGGGTGTTATCCCTCAAGGAGCTTCCCCGGAATCAATGGCTGAAGCAATTCCTCCGGCAGATCTCTGAATGGCCATCCCAAAGAATGATCAAAGAGGCAGAACTGTATTGGGTCAGACAAGCTCAGAAGGAGATAAACTTCCAAGATTCCAATATACAGAAGCTGGACCCATTCTTCGATGAGGACAGTGAAGTGTACCGTGTTGGTGGACGTCTAGGTAGAGCACCGCTGTCGTATGACATTCGCCATCCATATCTTCTTCCGAAGAAGAGTCATATCAGCTTCCTCCTGGTATGCGATAGACATCTACATGCCCTTCATGGTGGTCATTTGCGGACAGCAAATGAGGTTCGGAAGAAGTACTGGATAGTGGGGGACATGAACATTGCACGACGTGTTGTACGCTGTTGCATCACTTGCAGACGGCATAGAGGCAAACCGACGCACCAGAGGATGGCTGATTTACCAGAGTTTCGGGTCAGCCCATGCTCGCCACCCTTCAAGACTAACTTGGTGGACTACCTAGGCCCAGTAATGGTGAAGCTGAATCGTAATACCACGACCAAGGGATATGGTGCCTTATTCACATGTGCGGTTACCAGGGCTGTCCACCTGACAGTAGTCCAAGACCTATCAACTCAGGCATTCCTTCAAGCCTTAGAAAGGTTTGTCAGTATTAGAGGAGCACCAGCCATGATGGTTAGTGACAATGCTACTTGTTTCCGAGGGGCTGACAACACGATCAATGAGCTGAACCTTAAGCTGAACCAAACGCAGGTACGGGAGCACTGTCAACGTTATAAGGTTGAGTGGAAGTTCGGACCACCGGGAGGACCCCATCACCAAGGGGCAGTAGAGCGCATGGTCCAAGAAGTAAAGAAAGCTATGAGGCACCTTGTGAAGGCTGACCGTCTTACCTTCGTGGAATGGGAGACTGTTTTCTGCAAGATTTCAGGGCTCATTAACAGCCGTCCCCTGACTGCGATGTCATCGTCGCCTCTCGATCATCCACCGCTGACTCCCAATCACTTTCTCACTGGGAGAGGAGATCTGAACTGCCCTGATATTCCTTGTGAGGACTACAGAGGAGATCTACGGAAACGCCGTGAACTGTGTAATACAATGGTGGAGGGTTTTTGGCGTAGATGGATGGAGTACACCCACAAGTTGGCACCACGTCAGAAGTGGCAACGATCTTCAGACAACGTGGAAGAGAACGATATCGTCCTCATCATCGGTGATGACAGAAAACGCGGGTCGTGGAAGACGGCCGAGGTAGTCAGGACTCAGCCTGGACAGGATGGCCTTGTTAGAGTCGTCGAAGTGAAATACGCAGATGGGACGCGTGCCACCAGGCCGATTACAAAACTTGTATCCCTGATGAAGCGAGATGAACGTTCAGACTTTTAAGGGTTCAAGAACTGTTGATTACTGGACGTTTGAACAGCTTGAAGAAAAATTCAGGCATTTAAATAGGTTCAAGAACTGTTGATTACTGGACATTAATTTGAACAGCTTGAAAAAACATTGCTATTAATGGGCAATTTATAGAGGATAGTGATTTCGTTGTATTTCTCTTTGATCTTATAAGTGTTCCATTTAGTCTTAAATCATGTTAGATTGTGTTTTTGTGACATTCCGTCACGCTTAGGGGGTCGGGATGTCAAGGCATGACATTATTTTTTCCCGTATTTGTTACGCGGCAGAATAATTACCCTTTTTACCTGAGCTGAGACTATCAGCACTTTCGCTACAGCGCAAAACAAGACCATACGAAGGTACATCAACCATGTCGGTTGATCCTAGTTTTTCCTTCATTTATATGCAAAAACTGAAGTTATTTTTAATTCCGTGCTATTATTCTTATGAGTGTATGTTATGCTAGGATTGTACGTGTATCTTTAATGTTTTTGAGGTTTGTAGGACAAATTTGGGCCTCTTTTGAAGTGTGGATAGTGGTAAAAGTCCGTATTGGTTTTGACTGTGCTTACGGTAGGCCTACTTGTGAAAGTGATTGATAATTTGTAAAATAATTCTTGGTTATATATACTTCAAGGAAGTGTAAGAGTTGCTGAAATGTCTCATGATAGTTTATAAGTTATCTGGAGACGTTCATTATTGTTTTGGTGTCATATTTCATAAATTCGAGATGAACACGTGAGACCTATTTTTCTTACGCTATTTTAGGACTTCAGTGAATTGTAGTACCTATACGTACAGATTATATAGCGGAGGGATATTTTTAGACGCCAGGTTTAGTGATTCGCCTTACGTTTAGTCTTGTTTATGTCGCCCTAGGTAATATCGCGTTATTCGTTTTAATACTTGAAAAGGGTTTTTTTTGTAATGTGATTATAGTATGCTGAATGGATTCTTTTATGTAATTCAGAAATGAGACAAAACAACACATTTTTGTTTTGCTTAAAGAAGACACTTTTTATTGGAGTAAAGAAGTGAAATGAATAGTTATTTGTTAAGAGTTCGAATGTGGATCTTTACTTCTAGTTGCTTTGCACTATAGTCTTAAACTTAAATACACCCTTGTAGGTCATGTATTTACTCTAGTTTGCTTACAAAGAATGTAATCTAAGGAAAAAGGAACAATTTGGGTATTTTGAATCAATAGTCATTCTTTGTTTATTTTTGTTTCTTTACAGGATTCACACGATTGTTGAATGTGCTTTACAGCGCCACAACTATTAAAGGGAAGCTATTCAAGTCACGCCTCCTGTGTGGTTATTATAACAACGTGGAAGTTTAGACACGGTCTTATAACATGTACATTGCTCCGGAATGAAGAGAATCATTATAAAGGACGAATTACTCCGTGAAGCCAAGTACAAGCAGGGAATTGAAAATAGCAAACGTTCCTCGGAGCGGCTATACACTGTAATGAAATGATGTAAATGTAATGAAAGTTTATTTAGGAAAATGGACATATAGTACTGTTTAGTTGTTCCATAACATCACTCAGTTTGATTTGATTCGAGATATAGCTCATTAATAAAACAGTATAAAGGCTGTATGAGTCTCGAACGAACCATCGCCACTAATCTTGGTGCCAACACCGTTAAACCATGCTCCAAATTTAGTAATACCTTTTGCTTGCCCTATAAGATCCGGGGTTGGAATATTTAGGAGAACGGAAGATTGATATTGTTAAGTTGCTCCATAAAATCACTCAGTTTGATTTAATTCGAGATATATCTCATAAATAAAACAGTATAAAGGCTGTATGAGTCTCGAACGAACCATCGCCACTTATCTTGGTGCCAACACCGTTAAACCATGCTCCAAAGTGAGTAATACATTTTGTATGCCCATAAGACCCGGGGTTGGATTATTTAGGAGAACGGACGATTGATATTGTAAAGTTGTTCCATAACATCATCACTCAGTTTGATTTAATTCGAGATATATCTCATTAATAAAACAATATAAAGGCTATACCTTTTGATACCTTATTTTGTGACACTGACAGGACACTAATTGGCGTAGGGTAGAACGGGTGGAATATTTAGGAGAACGGAAGATTGATATTGTAAAGTTGTTCCATAACATCACTCATTTTGATTTGATTCGAGATATAGCTCATTAATAAAACAGTATAAAGGCTGTATGAGTCTCAAACGAACCATCGCCACTAATCTTTGTGCCAACACCGTTAAACCATGCTCCAAATTTAGTAATACATTTTGTGTGTCTACAAAGACTCGGGGTTTGAATATTTAGGAGAACGGAAGATTGATATTGTAAAGTTGTTCCATAACATCACTCAGTTTGATTTAATTCGAGATATATCTCATTAATAAAACACTATATAGACTGTATGAGTCTCGAACGAACCATCGCCACTAATCTTGGTGCCAACACCGTTAAACCATGCTCCAAATTTAGTAATACATTTTGTATGCCCATAAGACCCGGGGTTGGATTATTTAGGAGAACGGAAGATTGATATTGTAAAGTTGTTCCATAACATCACTCAGTTTGATTTAATTCGAGATTTATCTCATTAATAAAACAGTATAAAGGCTGTATGAGTCTCGAACGAACCATCGCCACTAATCTTGGTGCCAACACCGTTAAACCATGCTCCAAATTTAGTAATACATTTTGCTTTCCCTATAAGATCCGGGGTTGGAATATTTAGGGGAACGGAAGATTGATATTGTAAAGTTGTTCCATAACATCACTCAGTTTGATTTAATTCGAGATTTATCTCATAAATAAAACAGTATAAAGGCTGTATGAGTCTCGAACGAACCATCGCCACTAATCTTGGTGCCAACACCGTTAAACCATGCTCCAAATTTAGTAATACATTTTGCTTTCCCTATAAGATCCGGGGTTGGAATATTTAGGAGAACGGAAGATTGATATTGTAAAGTTGTTCCATAACATCATTACTCAGTTTGATTTAATTCGAGATATATCTTATCAGTAAAACAGTATAAGGGCTGTATGAGTCTCGAACGAACCATCGCCACTAATCTTGGTGCCAACACCGTTAAACCATGCTCCAAATTTAGTAATACATTTTGTGTGTCTACAAAGACTCGGGGTTGGAATATTTAGGAGAACGGAAGATTGATATTGTAAAGTTGCTCCATAACATCACTCAGTTTGATTTAATTCGAGATATATCTCATTAATAAAACAATATAAAGACTGTATGAGTCTCGAACGAACCATCGCCACTAATCTTGGTGCCAACACCGTTAAACCATGCTCCAAATTTAGTAATACATTTTGTGTGTCTACAAAGACTCGGGGTTGGAATATTTAGGAGAACGGAAGATTGATATTATAAAGTTGCTCCATAACATCACTCATTTTGATTTAATTCGAGATATATCTCATTAATAAAACAGTACAAAGGCTGTATGAGTCTCAAACGAACCATCGCCACTAATTTTGGTGCCAACACCGTTAAACCATGCTCCAAATTTAGTAATACATTTTGTGTGTCTACAAAGACTCGGGGTTGGAATATTTAGGGGAACGGAAGATTGATATTGTAAAGTTGTTCCATAACATCACTCAGTTTGATTTAATTCGAGATATATCTCATTAATAAAACAATATAAAGACTGTATGAGTCTCGAACGAACCATCGCCACTAATCTTGGTGCCAACACCGTTAAACCATGCTCCAAATTTAGTAATACATTGTGTATGCCCATAAGACCCGGGGTTGGATTATTTAGGAGAACGGAAGATTGATATTGTAAAGTTGTTCCATATCATCACTCAGTTTGATTTGTTTCGAGATATAGCTCATTAATAAAACAATATAAAGGCTATACCTCTTGATACCTTATTTTGTGACACTGACAGGACACTAATTGGCGTAGGGTAGAACGGGCGCAGCCCCTAGAAGCTCAGGGGTTTGAGGCATTTAATTATTGTCAGATGAGCATATAGGGGCCTGCCTTAAGGTCCTAGGTGGAGTCCAGTGGGTAGAGCCGCCGGAAGCTCAGGGGTTTTAGGTATTTAATCACGGTTTAGATGAGCATATTTTGATACCTCATTATTTTGTGGCATTGGTAGGTCACTATATTTTCTTTCTCCCTTTCTTTCCATACCTCTTTTATATACTCTTTCAAAAAAAACAAAAAAAAAGCATGAGGGGGGGGGGGGGGGTCTTGATAACACCGTTCCACGGCCCCCTCCTTGTTGGCCGTAAGACAAGCATATTTCTTGCCTGACTGTAAAATTTGGGAATTTGTCATTTTCCAACAAACGCGTAAAAAAGTATAACTTACTAAAAAGCGAGGAAATATCCCGGAAAATTATTTCATTTTAGCAATATTCACTGGTATCAAAGTTGCCCCCCCCCCCCATCAGTACGCCCCGTTCATCAGTGAGTGGCATATCTGGTGCTTGGTCTCGTGGGGGGGGGGGGAGGGGCGCAAATTCATATCCCTTCACTCCCGCCGGAAGAACATTAAGAGATTTTAAAGTCCATACAGAGTATTATAATGGTTAACGTTTCTAAATTTCGAAAGAAAATGGATGTTTACACCAATGGTGTCGAGGGGCTCTTTCTTCGTGTTTTGTTGGGTAATGAATAAGGTTAATTGTTGTGAGTGTCATCATGGTCATGTACGCTAATTTTCTCGAAACCTGCCTTAAAGACTGAGTTTTGTGAATCGTTATCAACATACGTCGGCTCTTGCAGGGGCTGTAAGAGTTCATTATTCCTCCGCGATCATATCAAATAGTTATGTACCTGAGATGGCCAGAAACTGTAAATCAATAATCCTTTTCAATACAATCAATAATCATTTTCAATACAATCAATAATCATTTTCAATACAATTAATAATCATTTTCAATACAATCAATAATCATTTTCAATACAATCAATAATCATTTTCAATACAATCAATAATCATTTTCAATAC